GTTTCTACGTGTGGTGGGAACGTAGTATAATACATTGCAGTAAAGTAATTAACGCTGACGAGGAATGGCAACCCTCCCATGAAGAAGAAGAAGGAGTCTGCCATTTTTCGGTGAATTAACAAAACGAAGGGAAAGAAATTAATTTTTCCACGAGTGAAACTTTCTGTGCGGAAATCAAACGAAAACAATAAAATATTCTAGTTGATAAAATAGGGTGTACATAAAATATTAGTCGCCAGATATCTTGTGCAAATTGAATATTCCGATAAGTTGTGTTTGTTGGTGGGGTGTCCGAAAGGCTCAGTCAAATCTATTGCTAATTAAAGTGTGCGAAGCAAATAAAGAGGTGCCGCAGTAATTATAGGGTACGAGGTACGAGGCAGCAGAAAATCGTGGTCGTCGTTCTAGTATCAGTGAGAAGAATCATAGCTGAAGTCAAATAAAAGAGACGTTCATTACTGAGCTGTAGTAGCGGCGTGGTGAGGTTGGCTAGAAGCGGTAGACCACGACACTAGTGATAGTCTGAACGAGGTTTTGATAAAAGGAAAGGCAGCTGTACTTGGCTCTTATTCTTTATTGGTGCGTGGTCCCGAAGACGTCTGTAGTTTGTCCAGGGCAAATTTTCAAGATAGGTGCGCGAGCCTGAGTTGCTTGATTCCTAGCCCCAAGCAAAAATAATAAAATGAAAATCTGAAGGTACGTATCCGGTAAAGAAAACACCAATTTTTATAAATAATAACAGCGGCTATGTTTTGCAAAAGTCTAAAATTCCAGCTTGTGTTTGTTGCTAAAAGTGCCACACAGGCAAGCTGCGTTGATTCGCAGCACACACACACGGCCCTATGTAAAATTGTAAAAAACACGCCGCAAACATTTCATCACGCCACCAACCATGTTGGTCTGTTTCGTGATACGCAATGTTTAGATCAACTCGATGCAATGTTGCACCATACTCTATTTTAATTCATGTGCCACTTAAAAAACTAACAACATTCAGGAAACCTATCTACGTCAAATGTACGTATGTACATATTAGTGGCAAAAAGCGCTACCTCTCTTCACAAATATATTTTAAGGTTATGTTACATAGGTGATCAATTTTGGACAGTAGCTAGGTATTACTGCAAATACGTGAACCTAAAGTTCAGCATACATTCGAATTCATTAAGATTTTCAAAAATACCGGCGGCTTATTATACAAACTTATTTCGATTATGCAAATTTCCGACCAGGCAGTGGGTATAATGTATAGATAACACATTCCGGTGAATTAAGTGTACATATGTCAATACATATGTATAGTATAAGTAATAATATTTAGTATTGTTCTTAAAACACAAATTACATATGTAGAGAGAGTTTATCTTTTAATCAGATTATTCTGAATTTCTGATGGTGGATTCTCAAAATCTTATTATCCATCTCAACTTACTGCAAATTCGTCTTTGAGCTTGCCAAATTTGTTTGGACGGTTATGTAAACTTGTATTTCAAAGGGGCCATCACAGAAAAATTCCAGTACATCCTACCACTCATATTTATTACACTGGGTACAAAAGCTGACTGTGTCTTTTCGTGTGGCCGGTAAGGTGATTCCCATTTATTAAGTTGCAATTAGGGTCATGAGCGCAGACCCTTCTCTTGAAACTTACTTGCAAAAAAAATTTATGGTAACATATGTACCTAGCCCTATGTTCATTTGCGTATAGCTAGTTTCAAAACCTTAACAATTTTTTTTTCTAATTTTCGATTTAGGCCTCTGACTTAAATACTGAACTTTTGCAACACTTGAACGGACTAGTGCTAATTTTGTTATAAAAATGGAATCGCAAGCAGCCACTATCATTAAGAACCCAAACAACAACAACCATGCTGACAACCATAACTTAACACAGCAACAACCTTCGCTACCAAATAACATCCTTGTTGCTACCGCACAGCCATTCACTCCTGCTTCCAACAACAGCAATGGAAACGCTGCTGGCAACAACAACTTGTCTGGCCAACAAGCTATCAATACCGTCGCAGCCGCACAATCTTATACGCCAGTGCCGGCACCTACTGCCTTACATAGTGGAGCCCCCACTTCAGCAGGTCATGCCATCTATAACCAGGCTATGCATTCGCCAAATGTATTTGTACCAGCGTCAGGCGTTCACCAAGCCGGGCCAATGTATGCCACTATGATGCCTGCACAAATTCCCAGCAATGTCTATGTAAACAATGTCACCGCTAATGTCAACTTGCATGGATGGACTCATACAGTGCCAGCGTACATACCGTGTGGAACACCACATTACATTCACGGGGATGTGCCTCCTGATCAGGTTGTTGAATAGTCATATAATTTAATGTAATATATTTGCTAATAGAGCATCTTTCAGAATCCACCTGTTATGCAAGCGATGCCAGCAATGCCAGTAGCCTTAGCTCCTTCAAGCGCCATTGTTGCTGCTGGTGGCAATGGTAACCCCACTTCTCAGATCAGCAGCTTGAATAGCCGCGGTTCGCGAAGAGGTCGCGGTCGCGCCGCCAGTGGCAGTTCACGTCGTGGAGATTATAATAGCCAACGGCATCCACAACCAGAAGGAAGTCCAGCCCCACAGCAGCAATTGGTACAATCACAAGAACAAATCGGCCAGCAGCAGTCTTTAACACAACAGCAACAACAACCACAACAGGTTGAGTCGGGTAGTCAATTAATGACAAGTGGACCACAAACTTATGCTGCACAACCGCAATATGCGCATCCTCCAGCTTACGCTGCCTATCCATATCAAACCTACTTTGCAACACAAAATCCCATGTTACATCCAGCACAAGCCGCTCAACAAGCTACTGGCACTCCTCTGTATGTGTCACATATGCCAATGTACAATGCACACCACGTCTATAACTACATGGGTGGCCAATTCGTCTATCCACCCGTAATAAATCCGCCCGAATACCAGTTTATGCCTGGCGAAGACGCTCAGTGTGACGATCGTCAAAATCCTGAAGGCATGGTGGCGCCAATGTGGCACGCACAGGCGATTTACGCCGATGAATATGGTATGAGTCCCGAAATGCATGGAGCCGGCGGTGATGAAATCAACCACAACACTTCTTCCTTAGCTTCTGGCGATACTCCTAGTATGCTTAGTCCAAACTATGCAATTTATGATCCACAAATGCATGAGGTACAACAACATATGGGCATGATGCAAATCTATGATGAAACACAAATAGCGCACATGCAGGGTATGCACCCAGCAGCGTCGGTTGCGCAGGTAAGACAAAATCAACAAAAAAAAAAAACACTCATAAATAAAAACTAACTTTTCCAATTCTTATAAATACTTACATAGCTTGAAGATGAATTGGGCGAATGTGGCACACAGCCCGGTGCCATACAAATGGTAACGTCTGGGGCAATAATTTCCGCTGGCTCCATACAAATGTCCAACGAAACTCAAATCATTCATCACGGCCATTCGCAACATCAACCTCAGCATATTATGCAAGGTGCAGTTATGGAATTAAAACCACAACAGCCAATCGGTAAGTTTTTATTTAATTTTTTTACATTTCGTATAGTGTGTGAATGTTCGTATTTGAGGAAGGTATACTTGGTTAGCGGCAAGATTTTGTGACAAACATTTTTTAAGCATTATCAAATTTATGTTTCTCTGTGATAAGAGATGGTTATCGGACTGATATTAATATCAAATTATATTGTAGCTCGATTATGTTAGCATTGGTTTTACACCATTCTAAAACTTATTAACCGAAGTCGTAAAAAAGTTGGACCTAGGTTTTTAGATAAGCAAGTTTTATCTCTGAAAAGCGTTGGAAGCATGTTTACTGGCATGTTTTGCTCCTCAAAGTTCAGCAAAAAATCAAAAAAACAGCTTATAAGCTGGGAAATTAAAATAGAAGTTAAAAAAATATATTTCGCAACAAGGATTCTGAGATTTGGTTATTTGTAATGATGGAATCGCGAACGGAAAAATTAAAACATGCACGGAGCACTATGAGTATTTCCAAATAGAGGAGAATTTTTGTTGGAGTTATCATTTCTGAATCTTCTAAATTCCTATAAATACAAATTAGTAACGTTTATAACTTAATAATACAAATGTTTATTACATATGTATTTACTACAAATAAGTATGCAAACAAAAGTCGGCTGCCAGAGTGAACCAATTTAAATACTCATGTAAAAGTCCTCATTTATTACGACTTAGAGTACAGCCCATTTTTGCTTTAAGCTAAATCGCTATTTCAGTCGGCTTGCTTCTGTTAATTAATTGCATTTCAAAGTTCTACAATGTTCATTTTAGTTTTACACTCGCTACCCTGCTAGCAATTTNATAATACAAATGTTTATTACATATGTATTTACTACAAATAAGTATGCAAATAAAAGTCGGCTGCCAGAGTGAACCAATTTAAATACTCATGTAAAAGTCCTCATTTATTACGACTTAGAGTACAGCCCCATTTTTGCTTTAAGCTAAATCGCTATTTTAGTCGGCTTGCGTCTGTTAATTAATTGCATTTCAAAGTTCTACAATGTTCATTTTAGTTTTACACTCGCTACCCTGCTAGCAGTTGCGTTATCTAATGTTTAAGTATGTTATCAATATAATTAAAAGACTTTATAATACACTATGATCGTTTGCGAGGCGATGTGAAATTATTTTCAATTGTGTCGATTGCAATGACCTCACATATAAAGCTAGTAAGTAAGAAATGGGTCTTGATATGAATTGAAAAAATTGGTTTTCTTTAATACATATGCATGTACANTTGCAATGACCTCACATATAAAGCTAGTAAGTAAGAAATGGGTCTTGATACGAATTGAAAAAATTGGTTTTCTTTAATACATATGCATGTACATACATACATATTGATTTCTTATGCATATTTTAGTAAATATTTTGTAGTACATACATATGTATGCAGATAGAACAGTTAACTCTTTGCACAAGTACAGGGCATTTCGACGTTTTCCAATATCAAATGACTTAGTAAGCTTGTTTAAAAATGTATAAAACGTTATCTTCAAAGCAGTTTCTTTTGTCCGCATATATTTACAAATTATAGAGTACAATTATTCGAGTAAATGTGTTGCGCTGCTATCTACGTATGTATGTGTTACTGTGTCCGTCACGATAAATAATTTACTAATTTCAATGAATGGTATTGCATCAGTTATTGACTTTCGATAATCAAATACTCAGCCGTTAGCGTATCATAAAAAATTGGTTTAAATAATCTTTCGTCTGCACTATCCGAAGTTATCGGTTAAATACTATTTTTTCATAAATTTAGCTACAAAATGAGCTGTACACTAGAGTTGTCCAACTATCGATAGTGACGCCGTTCGATATTTTCGATAGTTTCAGTTCTCACTATCGATATTATCGATTGTGCTATTGAAATTCAATCGATATTATCGATTGTGCTATTGAAATTAAATCAAAAATTTTTTTAATGAAAATTTCAAGTAGGTATTTGGTAGATTTTTTCGCTGTTATGCATTGTATTTTAAAATTAATTAGAACCTTTTAGGCGTGCTGTTGCATTAATAAAAAAATAACTTAAGTTTTATGTTTAAATTACATGCATACATACGGACTGCGATAAAACGATACAAACGCGACATTTCAATCAGTTTTCATGATTTTTTTTTTAAAAAAGTATAGCCTATACAACCAAAATCGTAAACATCCAAATTTAAATCTTTGTACAGAAACTAGCAAAATCAACAATTTAATCAAATATAAAGGATTTTAACTATAATTTCTCGAAAAATGTTTGCTTTGCAGTTTTGTATCCAAATTGTAATATCACAAACTGCATGTTTGAAGTTGCAAAAATCCGGTTCATTTTAGACATTTTTTTTTCTTTCACATACAAAAATTTTCTAACACATATATACCTAATTTGTATGGTGGAAATGCGTAACATAGTGGATAAAAAATATCGATGGTAATAGAAATAAAAAACTATCGATACTATCGATAGCGCTATCGGTAGTTTGACAACTCTACTGTACATTAAAGACGGACCTCTATAGCATGCGTATCCGCATGCGTGCGTTTAAAATTTAAGCCTCAAAGTCAAAGTCCATACAGCTTTCTTACGTTTTTATGCACTGTTACAACGCATTCCACCTATTTGTTGTTGTCATTGTGACAGCATGACATTTCACAAAGAGTTTCGACGTACGCTTCCTGTATTTTCAGATATAATCTAGGCCGTACCATTTAAGGCTCAGACTCTGACTCAGACTATGATTACTCAACTTAACCAGAAGCGAAAATATATATATATTTTCTTCTGGTATTTTCCTTCTCAGCTGATTGTCACTTTGCCGGGCACGATTACGATAACCGANAAACGATACAAACGCGACATTTCAATCAGTTTTCATGATTTTTTTTTTAATTAATTTAAAAAAATAACTTTAAAACCAGAAAATGCCCCTTTGCCGCCTATAAGCCACATGAATTAATTCCTGAATAAAAATATATCGCATTGGGCAATATATTAGGTTACGTTACGTAAATCAAGTCTAGACTAAATGAGCCTTTACATAATATACCACCCGACTGTCGTGGGAACGCATTTTCCACAGTTTTATAGTGCTTTGTTTGTATTTGCAGTGATGCACTCGCCACTTAATAATTAGCAGAGGCGCATAGAATGCGACACCCCCTCGTTTATTTTGTCCGCCAAACACTTGCTGCTGTTATCGTCACCGTATGTTATATTTCTCTGCAGCCACTGGGCGAAATCTTCTTACCTTTTAAATTGTTTCTAGGCTATTAAAACGCTAATTAGTTCTTGGCAAATCATGCATTGCATATTTATTACACATATCTCACAGTATTCTATGCAACAAAAAACTGCAGCAATTTTTTTTTTTTTTTATCGGAGACTGGCAATTTTAGAAACTATTTGCTTATTTTCAAAACTGATGGACATCCATTTGCAAAAATTCATACAATGGCGAAATCGAAATCATATTAAATTATTCGTCATTACTACTACATTTCGTTTTCAATTGAATTTTTTTCTAAATAATACTAATAACAATTTCTTAAACATCGAATTTTCCCATTTTACTGTTTATTTTGTACATTTTCCAATTACATTATTCATTCTCCTTTTGTTAAGACTTTGTATACTTATAGCTAGTTATTTATTATTATTTAGATGTAATTAGTACTTTGCTTTTACATATGCGTATGTATGTATATGCCTAGAATTCGGGCCGGCCAGCTTAAACGCTGTGCTTATTGATTCCGTTGCTTCACATTGTTTTTTTAATTTTTTTTTGTTTGTNCCAGCTTAAACGCTGTGCTTATTGATTCCGTTGCTTCACATTGTTTTTTTTTTAATTTTTTTGTTTGCAGTTTTATAAACGTTTCGTTAATTCTATTTTCATTTGCATTTGCATTTGCAATTAAAACCTACTTAAATAAAAAATTTACAATACGCACTGAGGTGAATGAATACTCTTCCTACCACCCAGGTTGTATTGTACGCGTAAAAATTTCCTCTTCACAATCGCAAAACGCTTTTCGGTTTGAGCACTTTGTAATAAATATCAAAAAAGATAGCTGGAAAAGAAGGCGCATTTAGGAAAATTCTAAAAAATGTATAAGAGCATTATTTAACTGACTGACTTCTGGACAGCTATATATGTATGTAAGTATGTATGTATGCATATATATTTTTTGTATTGTATAATCGACACATCGACCAAATCGTGTTTAACGAGTTAACAGTGTTTTTGTTTTATTGTTTCATCGAATCGAAAGTATTTACATATTAACGTATATGTATGTATGTATATAGTTTTGAGTTGATTTGCAAACAATACTATTTTCGCTTTCATTCACATTCACTCTCATTCTATGTGTTATGGTATGCCTAGCACTATACACTTAAGCTTCAAGTACATTACCGATTTAAAAGGATTTGCAGCGAGTCTCGGAATAGCNTCACAATCGCAAAACGCTTTTCGGTTTGAGCACTTTGTAATAAATATCAAAAAAGATAGCTGGAAAAGAAGGCGCATTTAGGAAAATTCTAAAAAATGTATAAGAGCATTATTTAACTGACTGACTTCTGGACAGCTATATATGTATGTAAGTATGTATGTATGTATGCATATATTTTTTGTATTGTATATTCGACACATCGACAAAATCGTTTTTAACGAGTTAACAGTGTTTTTGTTTTATTGTTTCATCGAATCGAAAGTATTTACATATTAACGTATATGTATGTATGTATATAGTTTTGAGTTGATTTGCAAACAATACTATTTTCGCTTTCATTCACATTCACTCTCATCATTCTACATGTTATGGTATGCCTAGCACTATACACTTAAGCTTCAAGTACATTACCGATTTAAAAGGATTTGCAGCGAGTCTCGCTTCTTCTAATCTCTTCTCAATTTACAATTTCAATTTTCTCTTTACAAATTTACATGTATTCTATAATAATGCTGAAATTCACCTAACAACAAATAATAATAATTGTTTAACATTTTCTTTTGCATTCACATTAATAAGTATTATTCGTACACATTAGTACAGTACAATAATTTGGTTAGAAATTTTGTAGAACATTTTGCATAGATGCAAACCCTTACGAGTGGGCATCGAATTGAGCTCTTCTTCTTCTTCTCACTCTTCAGCCCGATGTTGCAATGCGAGCTTTTATTGTTTCGATTAGCGTTTTTTTTTATTTCTATAAATTATTAATAATTAACTAGCAGGCTAGAATTTTAAATTTGTGTGTGTTTGTGTGAGTGTATTGTGTATATGCGTATTAAAAGTTGGCTTAAATATTGAATAAGTTCTGCGATTATTTCACTTTTTCAAGTTTTATATTGGATAGTTGTTTAAAAAAATATCGCTCTGTGGCTTGTAGTCTTGACAGCGTCACACCATACCTTCTCTTTACATTTATGTATGTATGTGTCTTTGTGTTTGCTTGAAACGCAGTTTGTGTTACGTGACACTTTTTAGGTTCACGTAACCTTTAACTGGCTTGCTCGCCTGACACTCAACAAATAAATATCCAGTGCATGATTGTATTTCCCTTATAACTTTGACTCGGCGCCAGTTTTGTTAGTTTCACCCGAAAATTCTCTCTCGGCTTCTTCGCGCTGTGGACTGGGTAGAGTTTTCACGATTTTTGGTACGATGGTTATGGGCTGATCTTCCTCATCCTCTACTTCCTCGCCTTGTTCCTCGTCGATCGGCTCGAGTGTATCAATTTGCATTGGTGCTTCATCGGAGGTTGTCCATCGCTTTAGACAGGGCGCCATGAAGCTCGTGATGGTGGATAACGCGAAGAGTCCGCCAGCCATGTAGAAAGGCAAATCGTAGCTCTGTGTTGCATCGTAAACGGCGCCGGCAAGTGGTGATCCAATGATGGCGGCGAATCCTCTGAATAGAATGAGCAAGCCGAATGCATTGGTCAGTTTGTCCAGTCCTAGCAAATCGACGAGAATAATTGACGTGAGTGAGATGTAGCCGGATATGGCGGCACCAAAGAAAATGGACATTGTCACGTAGGCACCATATGAAGAGCAAAGCGGCGTTAATGACACAGCGACAGTCGAGACCAAGAGGCAAACGTTGTTGAGCAGCAGGGAGTCGACGCTGGGAAAATCGGCTACGTAGCCGCAAATCACCCTGCCAAATGTGTTTGTTATGCCGATAATCGAGAGCAGAAACGATGCGGAGCTGTCTTCGATGCCGTCCTTCTTGGCCGCATCGACAAGATACACAAATGGCACGTACAGTCCCGCCATGCCGAATACGTTGGAGATGCCGATAAGCATAAAAACTGGGTCCTTCAACAAGCTGACGTCCAGCATTGTGTTAAATACAGATTTGATGGAGTCGGGTATGCTGAGGCACGGACAAAGATCGTATTGGTCGCGTCCTTTTTCAGCTTCGGCCAGTGGATCAAGCACTCGCACACTTTGCATGCTCTTTTCATACTTGGTTAGCGATAGAACAGAGTTGCGGTAGTTGGTGAGGGACTTTTGCGATTGGTACTGTGGTAGATTTGTAACGGAGCCCGAGTAGAAGATATCTTTTCGCGACATCGGTCTAACCATTTTGCCACTATCCTGGCGTTGTGAGAGCGACATTTTCGATGAGGTAAAACCCATTTCTACACCATTGCTGTCGAGGTCGCCGCGTGATGATGCCCGAATAGCAGCCAAGGAAGGCTGGAAACGTTCGCTCGCTGATGTTTTGCGCACGCGATTGAAGGAAGGCACCGAACCGTTCTTTGGAAGACTTTGATGATCTGCCATAAAGGCAGGCTGTGAGGCGTTGCGTGTCATTGCATCTGAGGAATTGTAGGGGCTCGTTTCCGTTTCAGAGTTGCGATGCGATCTCTTGCCGCTGCGCTTCACATCCAATTGACCGTTGCTGTCCACCGTAGGCGGGCTCTGGGCACCAGTTTGATACTCGGCAACTTTCGCTTCGGTGATAGTTGGTAAGGTTGAGACGGGATGCAGAGTACCCTGCTGGGCGAGCAGCTCCAAGTTCAGGCTGGAGTGCACGCCAGGATCAGCGTTCAGTGGCATTTTCATTTTGCGCTCCATGGAACCGTCCGGCAGCTGTACCATGAAATGAGAACCAGCAATTGAGCCGCGCTCTAATTGCAACTGCTTCTCCTCGTACATGCGTTGCATAAGCGGCTTGACCTTTTTCTTTTTAGGATAGGTGAGCGGACGCATCATGGCACCGAAGATGGCACAATTCAAAATAAGACCAGCAAAGATTAGCAGTGCGTTCTTCCAGCCATACAACTGTAGCAAGTACGTGGCCAAAGGCGCGAAAGCGAAAGTACCAAAACCGGAACCGCACACCGCGATACCTGTTGCCAGCGACCGCTTTGTTTCAAAGTAATAACCGACGGCCACAACTGCGGGCAGGTAAATCATGCCGAACCCGAAACCACCGATCACACCATACGTCACCATCAGCATATTGATGGACGTGCTCATCGTGCTCAACACAAACGCAATACATCCCACCACACTGCCGGCAATGCACACTGCGCGGCAACCAAATTTATTTGCTAACGCGGACACAATCGGACCAGCACTCAGGTAAACGCCACTCAGCAGACTGCCTACCCAGGCGACTTTGCCCTTGCCCTCGCCAAAGTAATTTACAAATTCACCGAGGAATATGCCAAATGTGTACGCGATGCCGTCGACAATCATGTTGCACATAAACGATGCAAAGCAGATGACCCAACCGTAACCACCGTCCGGCGGTGGTGGCAGCTCGCCATACTCGCTGAGGTCGTCCTCGTCGTCCGGACTGACGGCGCCCTCTTGCAGGTCGGCGGTAAGGCGGGCGGCTTCTTCGCACGCAACTTCACTGTCCGTGCGATCGAATTTACGTAGACGCGTACCGGAACCCAGAGTATTTGTATCACCCATTTTATTTTGTTTTGTCTTAATGCTACTTAGTTAGGTTAAATGGCGGAATTTACGTTGTCAACCAGACTCACAATATTTTTAACTGAATGTCTCCACTTATGTTTTTTGAGTTATTGCCCTTTTTTTTTATTTTTTACTAAGTATTATAAATTGTGTCTTAACACATTGGTTCACACTTGGTAGCTTTGCATGCTCGTCCACACAAATGTGCTTCGAAAATTTATTTTGCTTGTGTGCTTCTTCTTGTTCTTGTTTTCTTTTTTTTCTACTCGTTCCTCACCACTACACCATCACAGGACCACACTTTTTATTCGCCTTATTGTCTGCTGGTATTCAATGCTATGGCGTTTTGCGTTTTTAGTTCCTTTTTACATTCGATTTTATGCTTTCACTTTTTCCCTAAACGAACGGTTCTAGAGCGAACTTCTTTTGCTGTTTTATCTTTATTATGTGCGTAGTTTTATTATATTTTTTGTAAGAGCGCTGGAGAACTTGCGGCCACGATTATTGGTGGTCAATTGTCACGGTTCAACAAAGTTCAATATTAATTTAAACTTCTTCCTTTTGGATTTCGGCGCTGTTTAAGCTTTATCTCACTGACTGACGGCGGCTGACTCGTCGTTGTCTCATTGACTCCGCACGTTTGTTCGCTCGCGCGGTTGGTTACTTGACTTGGCTGGTTGCTTGGTTGGTGTTGGGTGGTGGGCCGCCACAGCGCTATTGTCGCTCTTCGCTGCCGTACGACGCGGCACAATTGCTGAGTTTTGAGTTGAGTTGTGTTTCAGCAGCAGCAGCAGCAGCGCCAGTCGGCGGGAGTAGTTGTGTTCTCCTTCAAGGGTGGCTGAGCTAGGTAGGAGCGTCGTGTGTCTGCGGGTGTGTGAGCGGGGCGCACGTATGACAGTTTCGGACGGTGAGAGTGTGGTCTCAGTGCTCCCAGCGTATAATGCTCAGAGTGCTGCGAGCACTACACTCGCGGATGGAGTGCGACCAGTGTGTGATAGTGTGTGTGGGTATATATATATGTATTTGCTATTGATATTATTTATTTGATAATTTCTTGATATTCTTTTTCACTTTGTTTTGTTGTCGTTATCGAATGGAATGATGACTGTATTGCGGGCTGTTTTTTTTATTTTTTTTTATTTTAGTAGTGTTTTTGTTTTATTTGCTTTAGGCTATTTGTTCGTCTTGTGGTGTTTTAGTTATGCGCTGCAGTTAATATGCAATGCCTGCACTTGAGCTGTTCGTGTTTTATCATTTACTTCATGTGCTGCCGGAATGGCGAGACTTGTATAAAAATGCTGCAATTGTGAAATGAAATTACACTATTTTTTGCCGTTTTTCTGTATAGTTCTATGACTCTATATTTTATACATTACAAATTGTTTGAAAATTGAGCTAAGGAAAAATTCACGCTTACGCTGGTAAAAGGTTATGCTATGACTAAGAATTTGCAATGAAATGCTTTAGAAATAAAGCAAGAAAAAGTTTGAGACACAGTTTTTTTTTGTTTGCAGTTGTTTTTTTAGTTTATTGTTGTTTTTTTGTTTTAGTTTATTGTTTTTTGTATGCTTATTGCTGCGTGGTAATATTAAGTATTGCTTATATTTTGATAAATAAATTTTTCAATCATGTCGACTCTTTGTTCGGCTGTGTTGTGCCTTGTTGGTTTTTCGCTCGTGGGTGCTTGTTTTTGTGTGGAAATTTCCTTTGTCGCACTTTTCAGATTTTTATTAAGTAATTGCTTTTTCTGATATTTTCTTCTTTTTTTTTTTGCCAATGTGCATCACCAGCAGCTGTCCATTGCTGCTACTTTCGCTACGTTATTTTTCGTTTTTAATTTCGTTATATGTAATTTTGAGTATTTTTATTGTTGTTTGCTGCCAATGGCTGCCTCTTCCTCCTCGCTTCGCTTCTGCCTTAGCTGATGTGTTTTGCTCTTAAGCGCTTTGTGTAATTTGTATTTTTAGTATAAATTTTGTTGCTGTTGCTGTGGTTCTTGAAATACCTCAACGCTTTGGGGCGTATTTGCCGTTTGTTTGTTGTGTTGTTTGTTTGTGTTTTGGTTATTTCTTGCTGTGCTTTTTTCGTATGCTATTCTCACTTTTCCTCTTCCATTTTAGTTTGCATTAACAGCAAAAGGGAAATGTGCAGAAGAACCGTTAACGTTTTAACACCTTACCCTTGGCTTTAGCGAGTAGAAGCAGCTCGCGAGGTATTTTTCGTTATTACTTCCTTTCCTCCTACTTGTTCACTTCCTTCCGTTCTGCCCTTTTTTCAACGTTTTGTTTTTGTTTCTGCTGCTGCANTATTTTTCGTTATTACTTCCTTTCCTCCTACTTGTTCACTTCCTTCCGTTTGGCCCTTTTTTCAACGTTTTGTTTTTGTTTCTGCTGCTGCAGCTGCTGCTGCTGCTGCTGCTAAAAGACACACGACGTCGTGTAATTGTGAATATTAAAAGTTTTTAAATGAATTGTTGCCGCAGGCAGTGACCTTCTTAACTGTTTGCTTGAGTGCTGGTTTTCAAGTGCATTTGTTTTGGCCAACTTTTGTCAAAATGTAATACATTTTAAAAACAACAAACGCGCACTTTTTCAATTTCTTTTTGCTGGCCTGAAATCTAAATGTTCATTTTCCGCGTTTAAACGATTGTTTTGTCCCGGTCCGTTTATGTGCGTGCGTGCGTGCGGGCGTGTGTGTGGTGTTTTCTCCAATTTTCCGTTTTGTTCTACGACCGCAAAGTTTCCGTTTTACTTATTTGACAATGAATATTTAATTTTTCGTTTTATACAACCATGCTGTTAGCCGTGTGTGCTAGCCGAGCGAGTGCTCCGTTTCGTTCGACGCGTGATCGATAAATGTTTTCAACAAAAACAACAATTTCACGAGCTTGTTATAAAGAACGTTGTCGCCACAGCCTCAGCCTCAGCCGCAGCCGCAGCCGCAGTCGGAGTCACTGCTTGGTCTCTGCCGCTGCTGCCACTGTTGCTGTTGCTGCTGCCTTTAGTTTTGTTTAGTATTCGCCGTTGTCGTCTCAGTCGTCTCAATCGCCACCGTTGCCACTATTTTAAAGTTTCTGCCCCTATGTATGTTTGCCCCACATATCCATCACTCCACACCGACAATTGAATTTCTGATGATTTTGTACTTCACCTTTTTGTAGTGTTAGCTGGTAATTAAAAAATTTCGCTGCTCTGTCTTTGATATACCAAGTATGTACATATGTATATACAAATGAGTATGCGATACTATTTGGACGATTTTTCTCGGCACAAAATGGCTGCTGCTTAATTTTGGTTATGACGTTGTGACGTCGCCGTTGACGACTCACACGTCGCTGACACTTTTTGCCGCTGCAAAAATAATTTCAATCAACTTTTCGCTTTAATATTTTAGCAGGAAAAAAAAAATATTAATTTAGAAAAGAATGACTGCTGCTGTAGCTACACAAATACTGTAGTTGGCTAGTTTGGGGGGTCTGCCAGTTAGTTTCACACTGTACCAACAGAAACAGAAAGCACTCTTCGCTCGGTTGTAGCGCTGCCGACTGTCAACTGACCTGGCTATGAAACTCGCCAATGCACACACCTCATCGGAAATCATTCTGTGCAGCAGCGCGTGCAAACTGTTATACGAATTCCAAAAGAAGATGGATATATGAGGGGCGACGGTCTCTTCCGCAGCGGTGCAAGGGTACGCATACGTAGCGTCGTACCACCAACCGAGTGTGTACATATGTATGTGTATGAACATAGTGTGGATGTAAATGTGTATGCCTATGGGAATGTTTTTTTTTACTTCACCGTCGCCGTCATTGTTGCTGACATGCTACATAAGAACCTTCCGTTTCCGTGCTCGTGAGCATTAGAGCAAGCGCACTGTGTCAGCGTGCTCTTAGCTCACATATTTTGCCGCTGTTGTTGCTACTGCTGCTCCTACTGCTGCTGCCGCTGTTGCTGCTCATTCATCAACAATGCATGCAACGGCTGTACCGAGCAGGGCGCGCTCATTGATAGCCAAGCGGGCAAGCAGTTTTGTTTGCATTCAAGTTTTTTACGTCGTTTTCTTTGGCGTTTGCTTTGTTTTGCGAAAATCAAGTTTTTGCTGAGAAAACATTTTCTGGCTATTCATCGCACTTAAACAAACAACAACACCATCACCCAACACCTGGTTGCCGAGGGTTGATTGTGTCTGTACTGTTTCTTCTTCTTCTTTGTTGATATAAAAGTGGTGTGATATTCTGAGCGTGAAGAAATAACTCGCAACTTTGCTGAGCGTAGTAGACCCAGAGCGAGTTTCAACTCACGTTTTCAAGTGCGTCAACAGCTGTGCCGCGAAGTCGACTAGCAACAACAAATCAAAACGCTCGGAGTTGTCTTTTCTTGAGGGCCGTGCAGACTATGCAAACTGTCAAAAACACTACTTGGTGTAAGCCATTCATGCCCGGCATTTCCCTGTCGTCATGTGCTGTTATGCATGTGACAGCACTTCCTTCGGCTCTTGTAGCTTTTGCGCGTAGGCTGTGTGTGTATGAATGTTTTGCGATGGATTTTCAGTTGTGCAGCGAAGGGCTGTTTCACGGTCCAGTTGTGCACTTTGTCAATGGATGACCAAATATCGGGGAGAAGGACAAACAACCAGGATGTCATGGCTACAGTGGGTAGCATATGTTTTCATTGGTGCCGTACATTATTTCTCTGGGTTTTTCCCAATGGCATGGAAGACTTGCAAAGCCTATTGCCAGCAGCTGACCAGCTGTTCTGGCGTTATTCACCCATTGTTAGGCGAATTTCATCAATAAGATAACAATACACTTTCCTTCATCTTTATCGCAGTCGAGTGGAAATGCTGAGGCTGATTATTGCTGCCTTGCATGCCTGTTTGCCATCACAGCTGTTATTCCGCCCACAGCACCTCTTCTACTTAGCGCGTTCTGGTTCGTATTAAAGTATTCGATCTCCAATGACAACGGCTAGTCTAGCCACTCTGCAGGAATTTTTTTTTTTGCTACTCCAACATAGAACAACCAATCACTTGTAGACTAAATTACTAAAGCATTTTCCTGCCGGTCACGTGCATGCGCTCTGCTTGGCTACCAACTTTGTATTGAAATTTTAAATTTGCGCCTGTCGACACGACGAATATGGCTGACTAATAAATTATAACGCCCTTACAATAGTGGCATCTATGGCCTGAAAGAAATACCATAGTACGTACCTGAATGATGGCGCGGCGAATGATTGTCGTCATCAAAATCAGTAGCACCGGCAGCAGACAGACAGCAACAGCAACAGCAACAGCCAGCGATAGCAAACTGTTACCAAGTCGTAAAATGTTTGGGTTTTTGCACACAGAGGCACACGTGCATTGCGGCCACCAAGGTACGGTGTATAACAGTTTTGTCGATGAGTTGTTGGATGATGTTGAATGAAGGGTGTTGTTGGTGTGGTTGTGCAATTGTTTATTATAAGCAGTGCCTTTTTTGCTCATGACTACCTTTGTTAACTTACATACACATGTACATATAAATATACGTAGCGATATTTTCTGGTATCTGCAAAATATCTTTATTTTATCAATGCGAATTTTTTTTTGGTGTTCTCTGCATTTTCTTCATTCAAAGTAAACAGCAGATGTAAAGGCGGCCACTATGGTGTAGTGGTTAGCAGTGCGCACTACCATTCCGCCGGCCTGCGTTCGAGCCCAGTTTCCAACTGACATCAGAAAATAGAACATAAAAAAGTTTTTGCTAATAGCGGTCGCCCCTCGTCAGACAATGGTAAACTTCGTGTGTACTATATTAGAGAGTATTATGAAAAACCACGAAAGAGAGAAATAGAGATTGCGCCCATTGCGGTACAGCTAATCCGCTCTTTGTGAATTTGACAGAATCAGATGTGTGCGTGGCGTCAGCTTGGTGCAATTGTTGATTGAGGAAAACCAAATAACGATTTAAGTATTGTGTCCGAATGGGTGACGCGATCCAAAAAATTTTACACACACTTGTAGTCAAGGGTCTCTACACTTTATTGTAAAACCTAATTTTGTAATTTGCGGTCACTAAATCATTAATAAATTCGGTTTGAAAAATGCACTTTTTTGTGAATTTCGGAGTGAGTTCTACGCAAATATACTGTGGATGGCGTAGCCGGAGTTATATGCACAATAAATATTGGTGGATACCTTTGACAATAGAAATACTGTTTATCGAGGTTACATTTCCGGTGTGAAAATGCTAATTTTAGACCATTTTCCAATGGTCTCCCAGAGGTATGTGGAACGTTTCGAGGGATCAGGTGTGACTTTTTACAGTAAGTGTGAACTGTGCTCTTTTTAGTGGGTTAGATATAAAGATTCAAATTGATTTCTTGCACATTTCTGCTTGGAAAAAAGTCCGGGCTGTTTCGGGTACGAAAAAGAAGACATTTACGATCCAAAAGTGGGAGGTATCTCTTTATTACCCATTTTTTTTTTAAGCGAGAGGAACGCTTTATGCGCTGTTTTGAGCACCCGCGGGTACAAACTTATATTTTCCTATGCGTTTTGGCATTTCTCTCTCGCAATTGCACCAAGATGACGTCACCAGGCCTGCCAACTTGGCTCAAACCGTTCCATTTTTGGCCCTATTTTACTTACAAAATGGCATTCTTCCCGTTTAGCATTCAAATTAGAAACACATTCCTAAAAGAAAAGTCCAATGCTGAAATAAGATAAACCAGTTGTATACACTATAGAAATTAGAAAATTTATGTTGAGAAAAAGAAGTACAAGCAAAGGGTTTCACAAAAATGTATTGAAATATTACTATTTTGCAAAAGTGCCATTTTGGCACTTTGTGCCAAATTGAAAAATTAAGTGCCATTGGAAGTAAACTAGGGCCATAAATGGCATGGTTTGAGCCAAGCTGGCAGCCCTACATATACTACTACATATATAGTACATAGTATAACGGCGTTTTGACACGTTCGATTACTAAATCGAATGCATATACATAAACATCCATTATAATATATATAAACATCCATTCAAACATTCAAGCAAATACCCAATGGAAAATCAAGTCTAAAATCATAGCAAACAAAAGTCTCGCAGTCACGCCGCCTAGGGGGTTGTCTGGCAGCCCTCGTCTTTCGGTCAATGTCAATCAGCCACACACACACACACAACCAGTATTCACTACAGTTGCACGTCTGTGTGTTCACTCGTTGCAAAGCTCAATATTTTTGCGCTGTTTAAAGCTAACCGCCAGAAACTGGCTGGCATTTCTTCTTGCCCAGTAATTATTTCTTGCCATTTGTTAACCGATAAATCTGCAACAATAATGTTCTGCCTAAATTGAGTTGAGTAATTTGCACAAAAATTGACAAGATTTTATAATCAAGCAATGCATTTTCTGCTTTTGTGCTGACATTCTCGCTTTTGCATGGAGGTACATACATACATACATACGTATATATGTATGTATGTCGTTCGTTGGATTAGCATTTGCTTTTTCTTTTTGTTTTTTTTTTTACTTAGTCATAGATATTATAAGAAAAGTAGGTGAGTATGTATATGTATGTAGATATGTATAGGTAAATTCTACGTCTGTGCAGTATAATTGTTGTGCTCAAACATACACACAGAATATATACAACATACTTGTATGAGCTAACGGCTAACAATGGATCGGCGGGAGAGCGAGCGTGCCGTTAAAAGTGACATCAGATTCGCTGATTTGTTGTGAATTGGGGAAACTCCTTGGATTATGCATAGCCACTATTGAATAAATAAATAATTTCTGATGNATAAATCTGCAACAATAATGTTCTGCCTAAATTGAGTTGAGTAATTTGCACAAAAATTGACAAGATTTTATAATCAAGCAATGCATTTTCTGCTTTTGTGCTGACATTCTCGCTTTTGCATGGAGGTACATACATACATACATACGTATATATGTATGTATGTCGTTCGTTGGATTAGCATTTGCTTTTTCTTTTTGTTTTTTTTTTTACTTAGTCATAGATATTATAAGAAAAGTAGGTGAGTATGTATATGTATGTAGATATGTATAGGTAAATTCTACGTCTGTGCAGTATAATTGTTGTGCTCAAACATACACACAGAATATATACAACATACTTGTATGAGCTAACGGCTGACAGAGTGAATCGGGAGAGCGAGCGTGCCTTTAAAAGTGACATCAGATTCGCTGATTTGTTGTGAACTGGGGAAACTCCTTGGATTATGCATAGCCACTATTGAATAAATAAATAATTTCTGATACTACTCAGTAATACGGCGTTTCCACGATTCGTAATTCGCTCTCTCTTTTGTAATTCGCTGTCCCATTCGTCATTCGCCTTGTCAATTACCTTCCGAATTACGTAATTCGCCATACAAAATTTTGAGAGCGAATGACTAACGCATCGGTGCCTCTTCTAATATTTAGCGGAAATATATCTAAGTTTTCACCGGCCTGCTCCCATTCGCTGGCTATTTTTCTAGTTATAGAATAATATTAATAAAATATTTTCTATCTAAATTAAAATTGTTGATGATAACTTAAATTTTAGCTCTATCTTCGATATTTGCAGTACACAAAAATAATAATAAATAGCGAAGAACGAGAACAAGAACTAGAGCTGCCAAACGAATTACTAATGTGTGTGTGTCGTGGAAACAGGGTAACTCACGAATTACTTAGACAGCGAATTACGCATCGTGGAAACGTCGTATAACAGTAAACGATATCGATAAAAATGACTACAATAGATAACGTAGACGACCATTATGTACAAATGTATGTATGTATATCGATAGTGATACCGATCTCGTAACGATAAATAAATTTCCACTTTAACATTTGCGTTGATTACATGTTTTAACTGGGCTTAGCGTGTGAGGATATCATCGTCAAAGTCATCCAAAGAAATGTGTACCTCTTCTACGCCACATAGAAGTAGTATAACAGCTTTCAAAACTGAATTATAAATACATATATGTATTGATGGATTATGCGATACCGTGGAATACGCCTCCTGCAGCAGAAAAACGCTGCCACACAACGCGCTTCATTCTTCGTGCTTGGACTGTCATTGAGAAAGCCCTATTTACCAATCTCCTCAAATAACTCCCTACCCTCGGTGATGCAAATTTTTAATTTTGGTTGGTCGCTAAATAAAACCCGTTTTTGGGGCGAGTTTCAGCCCTCTTATCGCCAACTTCTTTCTACCTTTTGCTTGATTGCCTAGATATTTTAAAAATTCCGACGAAGTATTTTATATTTTGCATAGTAAAACATAGATACGGTCTGGCGTGTGGTTTTTCTCAAAAGGCTTCCACGATCGCTCACTGAAAGACCTTTTCTCGCTTTGAACGGTGACAAAAATTCTCTAAGATCAAATACATATATTTATTGGAACTTTATACGCTGCTAAAATTGAATTTTAGGACATTCGACAAGGACAAATTGTTTCTCCGACATTAGATCTCTCGTAACTGCAGTTGCATTTGTTCTGGCCACCGCTTTAAATATCTTTAAAAGTTACGCGGCCAACTTGTGTCTCAATCAAAGCCTCGTGAGTGCTCAGCAGTGTGACTTCTTCTGTTTTTCCTTCTTCCTTTTTTGTTGTGTATGACTAGACCGAGAGCGGATTACATACATTGTCACTGTTGGATGTGTACTTGTGCTCTTTCATTTAAATGTAAATATTACAAAAAGAAAACTGCTGGGCGGTAGCAACAAGTAGTTAGTTGGTCGTGTGCCTAAACGTCTCGACTACTTTAGCAATTCTTTGAGAATGTTTCGTCGCAGGCGGCTCTTCAGCATGATACACTTTGCTATTTTAGCGTTGTTTTGCATAACTCGTTATTTATTTAAACGTACGAAAGGACTCGTATGTCCAACCTTCACTTATCCTGCCATTTGCACGGCTACTTTGCATAAGCGGTTGACTTACTAATAAATAATAAGTAGTGTAACAGTAAAGTGTTTTGATTGCTCT